GTCTCACTTTCCCGTGGGTAAGGTCTCACTTTCCCGTGGGTTAAGTCTCACTTTCCCGTGGGTAAGGTCTCACTTTCCCGTGGGTTAAGTCTCACTTTCCCGTGGGTAAGGTCTCACTTTCCCGTGGGTTAAGTCTCACTTTCCCGTGGGTAAGGTCTCACTTTCCCGTGGGCAAAAGGTCTAGGGTAACCACAGCTTTTGTTTAAAAGAACATTCCATTTCCTATTGTCTTTTTAGTATTTAAACTTTTGATATCTTTCACTCTTTGACTTGATAATGACGTTAGTCGTCAACAAATTTTTAATATGCTTTTACGAAATGTTTTATCTCATTTTTTTTATCGTTAAATGTTTTTAAAAACCGCTTTTTTTTCGTATTAATCATAACAATTACAGTTTTCCCAAATGTGATCGGTGCATCAGCTGCTTTATATTTATTTTTGCTAACTGTTTTATGGAGCTGTTATCGGACCATTGGCTGTAATTGGACACCTGTCATTGGACAGTTGAAGCAGCCAGTCATACCAAATCCACTTAGTTAGAATACTGTAGAATTTTTTTTTTTTGTTTGTTTGTTTTTTTGTTGTTGTTGTTGTTGTTAATTGTAATGGCTATGAGTTATTGGTAACAGGACTTCGTATCGTCCAATTCGGTCATTGGTCATACTCCTGACCGAGAAATCGGACTCTCGCTTCGTTGGTCGTCCGAATTTATGACTACCTGCTTGATTACAGACCTATTACCAAGGGCTTACCATTATTGCTGACTGAGGTAAATTAGGGTTGCGATACGATACCTTCTCTGGAGCAGAAAAAGTCTCCACAGGAAATTTTTTGTCATCTCTCATCATCGAGGGGGGCTTTGGGATTTTCGGTTTTGACTGCTTTTTGGATCGGTTTTTCGGTTTTTGGGCCAAAAAGGTTCGGTTTTTCGGTTTTGATGTTCGGAGCGGTTTGCGAATTTTACGTGTTTTTGTATTCGGTTTTCGGTTTTTCCTTTTTGACCCCTTTAAAGGTGAAAATGCAGCGGTTTTCTCAGGTTTGCATGCGGTTTTCGGTTTTGCTGCCTTTTTTCGTGGGTTTTTCGGTTTTGGAGGTTTTTTTCTCCGATTTTGCGGTTTCCCAGAGGCCCCAATGCCCCCCCCCC